CTTTTAATATTTTTTTCCTTTGCTGAATTTCTGGGATCTTGATTATTATATGTCTGGGTGTAGAGGTATTTTGGTTATGGCTAATTGGAGTTCTATATGCCTCTTAACTGTATGTCAGAATCTTTTTCCATGCTCGGGAAATTTTCTGCAATTACTTCTGCAAATAGTCTTATGTCATTTGTGTCGCCTCCTGCTGTTTCTTTGACACCTATTAGGCTTACATTGTTTTTCTTTGCCTCATCTTGCAGCTGTTTAATTGTTATTTCCCAGTTCCTTGTTATTTTTAAGAGAACTTTCCTTTTGTGATCGTTAGTTGCAATGCTGTCTTCAAGATCTGAAAGCCAATCTTTAGCTTCATTCAAGAGATTTGGCCAGCTTTTGATGGAAATTTTACTTTCCTGGATATCTCTTTGAATCTGTTTCACGCATTCTAATTTTTTCCTATCTTTTCCATTCAAGGTTTTTTTTTTATCATTTTTCTATGCTCCTCTACTTTTCATTTATGTCTTCTTTAGATGTGCTGAACAATTCTTTCATTATTGTTGTCATTTTTTTTTCTTACCTGAGAGATTATTTCTGGTCTGATTTCTTCTATGGCTTGATGGAGTTCTTTGTTTACTTCAGTTGCTGTCATTTCAGGAATTTCTGGTGTGTGACTTCCAAGTTTTCCTAGGTCAGTGTCTCCTGGACTTGTTCTGGGTGGTGTAGACTTCTGAGAATGCTTTGCTCCTTTTTCTTGTCATTTTTGATGCAGGAAACAGAACTTTAAGCCTCAACTTTCCCAGGCAGCTCACCAAAGGTCTCATATATCCCTGGGTTTCCTGCTTGTCAGACTTGCTCTGTGATGGTGGCAGGAGGTTGGGCACAAGAGCTAATCTCTCCCAGCAGCTCACAGAATGTACCTGCTTTTCCTGGAAGTCATACTTGCCCCACGATGGTGGCGGGAGGCAGGGCACTGGGTTTAGACTCATCCAGGATGTTCATGGATTGCCCCTAGCTTTCCTGGGGATGAGTTGTGCCCCAAGACAGCAGTACGAGGTGGGGCACTGGGCTAGGCTCCCCCAGGCAGTTCACAGAACCCACCTGGCTCAAGCCTATCTTTATCAGTACCCTCTTCCCTTCCTTCTGTGACTTACCTTCAGGGGCCACAAAGTGAGGGAGGTGCACAGCGGCCACAGTTCCCTGCTCAGCCTTGATGTCAAGGAGAGGTCCTGCCACCATCCAGGTGTCCTGTAGGTCATTTGTGCTCAGGAATTGGTCCCAAGAACAGAATTCAATCTCCACAGTCACGTCCCTTCTCACTTGAAAGCTGAGACCCGTGTGGGGCCAGTGGTAGTAGCCAGCCTCAGGGAAGTGAACACTGGGAGGAAAAGGAAGAAGCAGACTCTGAATTATGCAAGCTTACAGAGTGCCTTGTAGATGCTTGACCAGTGTAAGGATTTGTGGACCAGTGGAAAGGTTGCAATCCAACTACAGAGCCAGGATTTGGGTTTGGGTCCTGACTCCTGTCTAAATCTGGATCTTGGAGGATGTGAATTCACATCCTTAATCTCAGTTTTGTCATATGTAAACAGGAGTAATATCAGCATCCATATCATAGAATTATGTGTGGTAGGTGACCTAATGTAAAATGACAGTATAATGCATGTTGGGAGCAGAGCACTATTCCTACTTTGATGACGACAAAGAGCAGGGTAATGAAGTAGGCAGTGTTTTAAAAAGGGAGTGTTTATTATTGTAATATTAGTGATAACCCTTGGATGTGAAAACAATGCCTTTCAGGGATATTAAGGGAATTTCTCAAGACTCTCCTCATGTGAAATGATGGAGAGGTGCCAGATCCTGTAGGTAGACATTGGAAATCTGATTATCTCCCAGATGTTACAGGGACTATGAAAATCTGGTGTGTGGTAATGTGTTAAGAGATTGTGATTATGATTATGGAAATGTATCACTTAGAAGACTAAACACTTGGAGGGCAAGTCTACCACATACATGTTAGTGTTTCCATTTAGTACTCGTGTTAGTGAACTACTAAGTTTAGAGCAGCTATTAATAAAACAGAAACATACACATTATGAGAGACTAAAATGGAATTTAAAGCACGAAACAAATATCACAAGGGGACCTTGTTTGTATCATGTGTAGAATGAATCATTAACAAGAGCACATTATAGAGAATTGAACAAATCTGGATAATGGGTTTAGATGATATGAAACACTATAGGCTATGTTAGATGTCATAATGGAATGTTATTTATGGAAGAAAAACTTTTAATTTTTTGACATGCATAATATACTTAAGGATAAAATCATCTGATATCATGGATTGAAAATACTGTAAAAACAGGAAAAGAGGAGAGAGAACAGATGAAATGAATTTAGTGATACTGAAGCTGAATCAATATTATGGGTTATAGGGAGTTTGTTTACTCCACTTTTGTGTAGCATTAAAATTTTTCATTCAAAACATATCTTTCCATATTAAGAGCTCTCAGCCATTCTTGTCCATTCCTGCTGATTTGGCAAGAGAGGAACAACAAGTGGAGATGGTGTGGGCACTGCCTATAAGGACCCAGGGTGGGGAGTGTGGAAGGTGAGGCCAAGCTTGGCAGCCAGAACCTCTCACTCACTGCCACAGATTCCTCTCTTTGTCAACCACCTCCATGGGCAGAGGCCCTGTGGATCCACAGAAGCAATCTTCAGTACCCAGAGTCTCTGTGTGCAGGTCACCTAAAGAGTCAGGAAAAGTCAGATGGAAGGGTTCCCTCGAGCTACCTGTGGGAAGACTCTGTGACAGAATGGGAAGTGGTTAGTTCTGAGTTCTCCTGCTTGCTCTCCCACATTAGGTCCATGGTGGGGCTTGTCTTGAGGCTGGCAAGGGAGTGTGCCTGCAGCCTCTGTCCCTGCTCTTGAGTTTGCTGCTATCTGCAAACATCCTTTGCTCATCTGTACTTCCCCACTGGTCCAGAAGTGTCACTCTTCCCAGCACGTGCCAGGTTGGTGAGTAGAGAGAGATACCTGAGTCAAAAGATAGATTGGCAGACAGGGATGGGGAGTGGATTCTCAGGTCTCAGGAGCTCAACATGGGAGATCAATGTCATGGTGCAGGGTCTGGCACAAGCCATAGACATAGGAAAGGGCAGTGTCAGTTCCTGAGGCTGACAGAGGGAACCAAAATCCTTCTGAGGTAGGACAGAAATGAAAGCTAGGTAGAAAGGAGAGAAGCAAATCATAACTGGAAAATTATGCTTTAAGAAGTCTGTAACATCTACCCCCAATTGAAAACTTCCACGGTGATTTATATAATCATCCTGTTGGTTAAATTTAGGCTCTTTTCTTTCCTGACTCTTCATACTTACAATTCCTCAGGAACAGTGAAAGTCCATAATTTGGCTTAATTGAGAAAGTAAAGAGCAGGAATTCCCCTTAGATAAAGGAACAGGTTGTGGAAATTCAAAGCATGCTTAAATTATTCATCTAAAAAACTGGGCTCATACATGTAACATGGACCAGTACACTTCTTGAGAGCAGATCATATTTTCCTGGGGTTTCTGTTACCTCAAGAGAAGCACAAATGTTTCTTTGGTGTCTCGCTGTCTTGTGGGCCCAAGGTATCCTTCTTTGAATGTGTTCCTTTTAATTTTTGCCTAATAAACCCCTTACTGTGCCTCTTACTCTCTAGTCCTAAAATTCTTTTTTGCAGGGGATGGGCATTAGGGAATCTCAAAGCTTATTGTACAAATGTGGTGACCTAGGTTCCTTATCTCAGCTTCGGGAATATCATTAGACACAATCCGGTGACACTTCCATGTTTCAAGATTGGATAATCTTACTTGGAAGTAAGTATCCCCCTGGGCCCATCTAGGTAGTTAATCTGCCTTGTCTCACTTAGGGGGATGGAGCATGGGGATGGAGGACATGACCTCCCACAGTGACACCTCCCATCATATTGGCCCCAGAACAACCCAGTGAAATACCTGATTGTGGTCTCTGCTGCTTGAATGAGGATGTGGTATAACTTGCTTCTCCTTCCTCAGGGTCTTCAGTAGGGATCCTCGTATCTGGCATTCTACAAATGGAAATGTTTATTCTTTCTCAGATATCGTGGAGGCCAGAGCTTTCCACATGATACCCTCATTTAAAATTCAATGCACTCAAATTTGAACTCCATTCCTTGGTTCTTTTGAAGTTCTCTGTGTCTGTGTGAGTGGCCCTCCATCCACCATGTATCCATGCTAGAACTGGGGCATCATCCTGACTCCTTCCTTGTTGCTGTAGATTAAATGTGTCTCCCAAAGTGCACACATGGGAAAATTACTCCCCCGGGCAACTGTGTAGCATTCTGTGAATTCTAAAGGGTGGTGAGGTTCTAGGGCTTTGACCTCATGAAGAGATTACTGTCATTATCACAGGAATGGATTTATTGTGGCAAGAATAGATTTGTCATAAAAATAAGCTGGGCCCCCTCTTGTTTTTCCATGTGTATTCTGGTCCTTCCTCTTCTGTCATATTATACCCTATAAAAAAAGCCACTCCAGATTTAAACCCTTGTACCTTGACCACTCCAGCCTCCATAACAGTAAGAAATAATCTCTTTTTCTGATTAATTACCCAGTCTCAGATATTCTGTCATAATTGCACAAAATAAACTAAAACATTTGCCCAACCTGACCGTCAGTCATTTTTACAATACCTTCAAATAGCTCTCCTTGTATTCTACACTCTGCACTTCCATGGCCTCCATTCTAATCCCAGGTCCTGGCATCTGTGTTCTGAACCACTGCAGCCTCCTCCAAAGGGTTTTCTGCCCTGTCCCTCTGCTGCCCATTTTCTACACTGTAGATGCTCTTAGAATTTGAATCCAAGAAATCACTTCAATGCTTATCCTACAATATCTCTCTATTAATTGTGGAGTAAACAGAAAGTTGCTAATGAGGTCCAAATGGCCTTACTATGGGCCCTATCACATTCCACCCCATCTGTTCCACCTTCTCCCTGGTCACTGACTTCTAGACCAGTGATACTCAAACTCAATTCTCTTAAAATCCACCAGGAATTATTTAAAAAGATACACTGTAGGATCTTGGTTGGCCTCATTGCAGAGATTCTGCCTGGGCAGGTCTGGGTGGGGCCTGAGCATTTGCTCCTGGAGGATGGTAATGCTGCTGCTTCTGGCCCATGCACCACACTTTGAATAGTGCTGCTCTACACACCTGGCCTTGGCCTGGTCCTTCACAGAGCTAAGATCTCTTCTCCCTCAGAATCCCTCCTTCTGTCTGGAATCAACTCTTTCCTTTCCCTTTCACTGGTATGATATGATGCACAGCAGCGAGGAAGTTGAAGACAGAAAAATTTCAAGGTAATGGGCCAAAATATGTCCACCAGGGAGCACATGGGGGCCTGTAGCCCATTATGTGGGAGTTAGAGGTGGGCTTTTCCTGCCTTGAAGCTCCCTCTCAGTCCTGGAGGGTGTGTACAGGTGCAAGTGTGTGGAGGGGGTGACAGTGGTGGTGGTGACATGATAGTGATCTTTCTTCCAAAGGTCTCTCTGTGTCTTTGTCCTTGACTTCCCCTGTGGTCGCTGTTTTCATTGTTTCAGACTTCTCTGTTCATTGTAAGGAACCTGTACTAGCACCCACTGGTTATCACATGGTGAGCCCAGAGCCTGCACTCACTTTCTAAGGAGGGATTTAATCAGGCAGGCATTGTGGCCCTATTTTCACTGAGTAACCCAAACCCCTACATCACTCTGGTTGCTGTGTTTTCTTGGCTTCTTGCTGGCTCTGTCTTCTCCCACACTCCAAGACTCCTTCCCTATTTCTCAGCCCCAGACCAGACTCAGGCTTGTGTTGTCCAGAATGAGTTCCAGTTCCATCCCTTACCGTCTACTGGAGATGAGCAGCTGTGGTTTCTCTTGCTTCAGGGCCTCTAGTTCCTCCTCATTCAGAAGGGTGAGGTCCAGCCTGTAAGAACAAGAGAAATCTGGTTCTTCTGGAAACTCCCCACATTCCCAAAGTGCACAGGGTACAGCATATCTGCCAACTGCCAAAGGAATCTGGGAACCGCTGAAGGAATCTGTTGATATTACTTTCCCTGGAAATTGACCTCTGAGATGGAGGTAGAGTGAGGTGGTCCATTACAATTTTTTCTTGTGCAAATACACATGTGTGTGCTGACAGGTGATCAATATGCATCTCTTTTCCACCTGGGTAAGCCTCATTCAGGGGATAAGGGCTTATATCTGTTCACTGTCATATTGATAGTGTCTGGGCCTTGGCATGTGCTTGACATATTAGAGGGCAGCCACAAATAGTTGAAAGTGAGTAAATGAATGAAGTGTTGCTCCAGAGTGAAGTGAACATGGAAATCCTTTAGAACATGAAATGCATAAGTAAATATCACTTGATCAATTTCTTGTTTTTATATCATCCTCTTTTAGGGGCTGGGATGGAATGCAGAGCCATACACATGGGAGGCAAATGGTATATGACTGAGCTACACCCACAATATTTTACATGCTTTTTATTTCATTAGGATCCATGAGTAGATATGAGAGTTCCACTACACTGATCAGGAAACTGAATCTTTCAGAAGACTGTGACTGGCTGGAGTCACACAGCATAAGAGGCATGGCTAGGAAGAAGCCCAGGCTGACTATAACTTTGTCTATTTTTCTTCTCTTTGCCCATCCCAGCGCCCCATAGCCTTACCATAGTAGTGTGAGTTGGCAGGTGGGATTCCTGAGACCCTCAAAGAGCAGCTGCACACCATAGCTTCCTAGGTCATTCTGCTGCAGGTCTAACTCACTGAGGCTGGGGCTGGTGCTGAGCACGGAGGCCAGGTCCTGGCAGCAAGTGGATGTGAGGCCACAGCCAACAAGCCTGTAGAAGAGATGCACATGCGCACATAGTCATTGTCTCCAGCATTCACTACCCTGGGTACCTGGAGTCTGGTTACTATTAGCTGTAGCCCTGTGGGGTCCTGTGGTGATATTAGAAGAAGTCAGACTATCTTGGCTTAGAGTGGCCTGGGAACTCTTTGTTTTCTTCTTGCAGCTCAGAGTGCTTCAGAATGCTGGTACCCTCCCTTTCTCATTACTGTACAATTCACTGAAAATTTGCCCACGAAATACATCAACCTTAGATGAGTCCTATTTGAATACCTGAGTTTAACTGTTAATCACATTCACCCTGCCATGTACCCAGAGTCAGTGGCCATATAATGTCCAACTAAGTTTCAACATTAAGGGCAGCTCAATCTAGGAGGAAAACTAATGAACTCCTGTCAGAAGAATCAAAGCTGATGGAGACTATGATAGATGCAGTCAGAACTGGTGTGTGGAGCATGTGCTTTCTCACACTGGGGCATGGCTGTTGTCCTGCACGCTATGCTGAGCAGTGGTAAGCTCTCTAGCCTGCCTTGTCTTATCTGAGTAGATAACTCTAGGTGTCCTATAGCTAGGAATATAAAGGAATTGAGCTCTGGCCTATTGGTCTGCTGTTGAGCCTGGGAAAGAGCCTGAATTCTATTGTGTTCAGGACAGCCTGAATTTGCATTGTTAATGGACCAAAAATCATATGCCAGGTATGGGACAGTTCATCTTTCAGGAAAAGTAAGGATGAAAGGGCAGGTTATTTACTTCATCTTTCCAGATGAAATGTTTCTTCCCTCTTTCAAGCTTTCCCATCCTGCAAAGATCTACAGAGATGCATAGGGAAAGGACTAACACAGGGGCCGGGGTAGTCAGAGAGGAGATTAATTGTGGTCTTTCCAATCCCCTTAAACACTGTACCCCTTGATTAGCCCAACCTCTTAGAGGACAAAATGAGGAGTACACAAGTTATTACCCAACAAGTCTTACAATTTAGAGTAAAGATAATACACCCTGTCCCAGGATGCATGAAGGGAAATGTTAACTGCAACTCTGTATATTGCCACAACCTGGTGTTATGGTTTGAATCTGTGTGTCCCCCCAAAGCCTCAAGTGGCCATGGGGCAGGCTTTTACAGTTTGATGGGTGTGAGAGCTGCACCCACCCTGGGGTGGATAGTTTGCATATGTAAGGGAGAGGAAAAGGGTGCTTGAGGCCATTCCTCCTCCCCCATCCGCCCTGGTGTGGGCTGGTGGCTTAGCTGTGTTCTGCCACCCTGAGCTGTAGCTCTCTGTCATGTGCCAGTCTGCCTTGTAATCTGCCAAGTATGTACTGAAACCTCCACAAACTGTAAGCAAAATAAACCTTTCCTTCCTTAATTTTGGGCATCAGGTATTTTGTCCCAGCAGTGAGAAAAAAGTAACCAAGACACTTGGAAAGAACTCAGATGTGCATAATGGGGAGTGAGTCACAAACTAATGGAGCATCCATATAGTGAAATTCCATGCTTCCATTAAAAGAATGAGGCATCTTTGTATGTACTGACATAGACTATCTCTAATATGTATCAGAAATCATCAAATTAAGGCCATGATAGTGTTTGTAGTACATTAAGCTGTGTACGTGCTATGGGCTATACATACTTGGGGTCTCTGGGAAATTCTGTTTGGGGGTCTCTGCTTTGAGGTCCCAGCCCAGCTTCTGCAACCCTTTGTTCCCACAGCTGCATCTGCTTAGGTTAGAGCAAAACATTCAGGACATCATGTGCAGATCAAGCTGCAAGTTTGTCACTTTGTACTTAAAGGGTCTTGTCTAAAAGAGGGTGTGGTGCAAATGACTTTGATGTCAAGCTTTAATGTCAGACTTGGTTTCTAATCCTGATGCCATTGCTTTCTACCTATGCAGTCTTGGCAAAACAGTTAAGCTTTTGCCTCAATTTTATTAACTGTAGACAGTGAGGATTAGATATTGAAGGTGTGACAGATTCCTTAGCACTGCAGGAACTGCTAACTCTTTTTTGTTGTTGTTTTGTTTTGTTTTCTGGTACCGGGAATTGAACTCATGACCTTCTGCTTGCCAGGCAGGCCCTGTGCTGCTGAGCTAAATCCCCAGCCCCAGAACTGCTGACTCTTGATATTAGGAGGTTGTTCCAACTGGCTTCTCTTCCTATCTTCCTGTCCCATTGACCTCTTTGCTCAGAATTATCGATTGGAGAAAGAAGCAATGAGTCTTCAAAGGGAAAGAATTGTAGGCAAAAAGAAGGGAAAGAAGGGCAAGTAGGATCAGAGATGTGGACAGCATCCCAGAGTTCTTTGGCAGAAGCCAAAAGGAGAAGCTGATGGCAGTTCTCTCAAGAGTGCATGTGTGCATAACTTTGTGCATCAGGGGCAGGGGTCAGGAGAGGAGAGAGATATGTCAATAATCCACTGTTGTTTATCTGTGCTGAGGGATGTGGCTCTGTCATCCAGATGAAGATGGTAGCAGAGGACTGAATTAAGTGGACACCAGTGAGCTCAGCTGTCTATGGCTGTGACCCTTGCCAAGCAAGAGGGCCTGTTACTAGGCAACTGATGTCTGGTAAAGACCGACAAAGAGCAAATAGTAACTGCTCTGAGTACTTCAGCCATTTAATCCTCCGAGGAATCTTAGAAAGTCAATACTGTTGCCATCCTTCCCTGTGGCATATTGTGAAAATGTTCACAAAAGTTCCTCCTTTCCGACCTAGACTCATGCCCATTGCTAGTGATCACCCATCAAGAAACAGAGTACTGATCTGCATTTAGGGTGTGGATTTGGATGTCATAGGTTCTGCTTTGACTACTGGGACAATAGCCAAGGAGACTTTATGAGAGACTTGTGAAGAGCTTGGCTTTCTAGGTGCATATGGAGCCCTGTGACCACATCCCTCTATCCAGCCATGCGCGAGTTTCCACCTGAGCCTCCACAAGCCACTGACTTTCTGTGAGTTCCTTCTCCTCCACAAAGTCCTGCCCCCTTTTCTGCCCCTTTCTTTAGTCTACCAGATGGTCATCTGCTCCTTCCACCTCCGCACAATCCCTGCAAGGCAGTGTCAACACGGGAGGAGCAATTACCTCAGTCTCTGAAGTTTGCAGCTTGGGTGTTTCAGACCGAGGCAAAGGTGCTGGGCTCCAGCATCTGTTAGCATGTTGAAGTCCAACTCCAGCTCAGTCAGGGTCTGGCTGGTGCTCAGACCAAAGGCAAGGTGCTTGCAGCCCT